GTGTGTTTAATGATTCACTTACACTGATTTTCAAACAGCAGGACCTGCATCCCGTACAGAGAGAAGGACTGTCTGAAGCTGTAGGTCACCGAGTTCTTCTTCTTCTGGAAGATCTTAGTCACCTGGAACAGGAGGAGGAGAAGGAGGTGAAAAGAGGAGAGGAACTGGGGACAGGAGAGGAGGAAGTAGAGGAGAGGAAGTGGGAGGGGTGTAGTGGAGGCGTCTCACCACCAGGAGGTCGTTGAACAGGAAGATCTCCCTCTGATGGAGTCCTAACTTCTGCATCTTGTTAGGATCTGGTACTTCAAAGAGACGACAGTAACACACCAGCCGACGGTGAGGCAGCGACAACACCTGCACACACACACACACACACACACACACACACACACACACAGAGTGAATGGTCAGGGTCGTGGTATTTACTGTTACTGACAGAATACTACATGTCTGTAGTATTTACTGTGACTGAGTTACTGCTGTGTTGACAACAACAACAACAACAACAACAACAACAACGACAACAACAACCAAACATCAAATTTACTCCTGAGTTAATTCGAAAAAGGACCAAGTCCATGTCCAGGTCCATGGAACCAGAACCAAACTGTTTTACTGTTGTTGTACTTACACAGCCCAGGCCGTGATGGAGGGATCCGATCTAAAAAGACGGAGAAGAAGAAATATTTAATATTTCACCATGAGAAGTAACATGAAGTAACATGAAGTAACATGAAGTAACATATCTACCCCCCCCTCCTCAACTGACACTGGACAGATAACTGTTCTCACCCTTGTCACTTCACTCACTAATACTGCCCTCTCCTGGTTAATTTTTTTTTTTAAACTAAACTCACCGGTTTCTTGCCCACGATGAGTTTCTCGACCTTCTGAACCTGGGACACGTGGTCTTCGTTGGTCTTCAGCTCACGCTTACGGATCCTCTCGTAGATGCCGACCAGAGTCTCTCGGGGAATGTCCTCGCCATCGTCCACACCTGGACCAGAGGGAGGAACCGGACTTAGCAACGACCTGGTACGTCAGTGTGTGTTTATGGACCCGGTCTGAACCGGTCTGAACCGGACTGAACCGGTCTGAACCGGACTACCTCTCAGGTTCTTGATGAAGTCCTCCAGCTTCATCTTCCTCTCGGGCTTCACGTTGGGGCTGTACATGTCAGTGTTGAGGAGGATGATGGCAAAGGCCAGGATGAAGATGGTGTCGGGGTTCCTGAACTGACGCACCACGGTGGGGTTACAGATGCAGTAACGCTGGCTGGAGACAACAGAATCACAGACACAGAACTTTAGAACGTTCTGGAAAATATTCACGTCCTTTCTGGTCCATCTGCAGCTCACTGACAGAAGATCTCACCTGAAAGCCTCGATCAGCCGCTCCACCTTCTGGGCCTCGCCCTGGACTCGGATGTGGTTCTGAAATTTCCTGAGAGCCTCGTCCAGCTCCATGGTCTGGAAGTCCATTTCATCCACCACACAGCTGAGGCACACAGAGGTTTGTAGTTACAGTACTCTGAGTATTTACAGTACTCTG